GCTCGCAGCGAAATGCAAATTGAGCTTGTCAGCGTCAGTGACATTTTTCTTAGGTGTTATTGTGTTTTCCGATTTAGCGCCCGAGATGAGGAGAGTTTGTTAATGTTTTCATGACAACATCTGTCACAAAAAACAATGTCCATGTTGAAAGCATTGGGCGTGAAACTCTGTCTGCCAGTGGTACTGCCACGCACATGTCCTGAAGGCAGAGCTGAACAATCAGGCTCGTTGCGATGGTTGCAATGCGAGCTGTGTTCCGGCTTGAGGTGCGAACAACCGCATTGAGCTTTGAACACTTGCTTGGCAGGCCAAAGAAGACATGTCCTCGATTGGCAAGAAGACCGAGGATGGCAAAGGGCAGCTTTTCGGCAATACGCCTGGAAACTCAACGCGCCCGGCCTTGCACCAGGGGAAGTCGGGTCCGGTCGACAAGGACAAAGCTGGAGCAATGAAAGGCTCGAGACATGCGGGCAAACCATGCCCATGCAAACCGTGCGATGCCGTGTCATGCACAGCAGAGCCCGAAGGAGCTATTCAGCACCAGCTTAAGCAAAGATATCGGGCCAAGCTGTTCCTTGCATGCAGTTCCATTAAAAGTATGTGTGCCACCCAGAAACGTCTCTGCCATATCCGCTTCGGGAATTTTGGATTGTTTGCGCTTCTGAAGCCCAGGCAACAGATGCGTGGTCCGAGAAGTGCTTGACCGTAGCATGCGGCAGCATTCCGTGAGAAGGAGACGTGTGGTTTTTGAGCCATACGCGCTGTGGAACAGCAGCACCAAGAGGAGGTTGTGGGGACATCGCAAAAAACCTGTCCGACAGTGACTGGGTTGATAGCACAATCATCATTTGAGTTGTGAAGCTAGTTCGAATCCCGACGGATCGCTGCCGACGAGCTTGCTTCCGTTTGAGAATGTACAAAGACTTGCCAGCCAGTGAAGAGCAGGGGAAGCCGCAAGCATGCCGCAAGATGGTAGACAGCGATAGACGATTGTGCATGGTCCATGGCATTCACCATGTATTCGATTTTTTTGTTGGGAGGGTTGCATCGTGGCTGGATTCCCTTTTCTGCGAGCTGTCGGACCAGGACGCCATGTTTGAAAGCACAGCTTCAAAAGAAGTGCAGGAGTCCGCCGTTTTGATTTACGCATGCAGAAGAGCAGGACTGGTATGATTTCTTTTAATGATGATTTTTGTGGTCGTGGTGGTGGTGTGTACGTGGCACACAAGCAATGACTTCAAACGGAGGAAACATAAAATCTCGATAGTAAGCATCAAGATACGGAAACACGGTGAGATGTATACGACGAGAGAAACAGTGCTGGAGGTTGCAGTTTGTTGTGGTACACGACGTCGTCATCGCAGTCTTTGCGTGTGATTGTGGCAATGGTAGTAGTACTGAAGGTAATTGATGATCTTGAAGATCCAGGTGTATGTCGGTGTATAGCGGCCGTCCTTGTCGTTGTTGCCATGGTACTTGCAGTAGCAGTAGTTGCAGATGTAGTTGGGTTGCATGTGTTTTTGTTGGTGTTAGAAATTGCTGCATAGTAAAACAGGCAAGGTAAACCCACAAGTAAGAGCAAACAACAAACCAAACTCACAGTGCCAAGAGGCAGCGCAAGAGCATTGCATGATGTTAGAACAGGGAGCATGGAGGACCACAGCAGCAATCGAATAGGACTCATTTTTTGATAGGCCGATGGGCTTTGGGGACAGCACTAGATAACGATGCCAAAACGATGGCATCAGCTCTTGCCTCAAGAATGTGAGTATCTAAGAGATATCTGCCTATCCTTTGGAGACAGTCATTTTTGTTCACCGCAGCCGTGCAGCAGCAAAGTGCACAAGCTTTAGACATGTACTAACAGTCCCGTGTTGCCGTTGTTCTCACCTGTTTTGCCGAAGTGACATTGCTCTGTCGAGTGTGGCTTGTCCCAGGCCACGATATGCTAAGTAACCGGACGTTGTTCAGGTTTGTACCTAACAATAGTTTGACATTTTTTGAAGGTCGAGCCGCTCTCAGGTCATTGAGAGCAGGCGCGTGCTTCTTTTGTGATCTCGTGCCTGCGGCATCGTGCTCCAGACAAAGTGGCTGGACCCACTGAGCTTGCCGATGAGCCCCCAGCTAATGTGCCAAACACATGTCCAGCAACAACATGATGATCCCAGCTAGGCGCACTCAGTCAGATCTGTTTGCTAGGCGTCTGTTCCTGGCAGGACGTGCTTGGCGACCGGTGCTCGAAGAACCAATTCCACAAGCGAGGTTCAGGCTCGGGCTGTGATTGGCACATGTTCGGATGTTAGAGCCTTTCTTGCCAGGACGGTCTCCGCCAGAAATGATGCCGCTCCGGCCGCTCCTTGTTCAATCATTCAATGCTGTGCCCTCGAAGGGAGCAGGTCTAACCTCCAGTCGTTCGATTCCATGCGCCGGATGCATAGATGCGGAACTGCATTGTCTCCTGACTGAGCCCAGGAGAACGTGCAGCGCACCTTGGCTGCCGAAGCACGTCCTTTCTTGCAGGGTTTTCTCCAAGAGCGGCCTAAGACCGTTACACCATGTTCCGTAAACCTTAGTCATCAACTGGGCCGCATATTTTCGTGATGCTGCTAAAGCTTGGCCAAGCTTGTATCTTCACTTTCTGGAATTCCGCGCATTCAACTCAACAGACGGCTTCAGCTTCAACCGAGGGCTCCGGCAACTTTTTTTCGTGGGTGGGTCTCTGCTGGGCAGTCATTCATGCGAGACGTTGTAATTTTCTGAGGACTACTATGCGTGAGGCCCCTGGATGCTTTACTCTGTGGGCAGCTGCTGCAACGGGCCTGGTCTTGGGAACCCCGTCCCTGCACGGAATGCCTTGCTTGGCCAACGGTTGATGACCTAAGTCTGAAGGACTTGCTTGTTTACGATGGATCCTTACCGGGGATTGACAGCTGGGTGAACGCCTTGCCATGCATGGTGGGCTAGCCTACGCCCGCGAGAGGCTAGCTTAGACTCACACACCTACTATCGTCATCCGGTCCGCAGTCGGCAGCTTTGGTCTTGGGCCTCTGTTGTTTTCCCAAACAGCAGCACGGCGACCTCCAGGCGTGCTTCCCTTCGCGTCTCGACTGGTCGAAGGCAAGCTGGAGGCACTTGTGCGGTAAAGGTACAGCCTCGAGCTGCGCATCGCTGCAGGAAGCCAGCTTGAGGTTTCTAAGCCACCCGAAGCCAAAGGTCTGCTGGAAATGCCGCGGACTCCTGTTAGACAGGTCTCGTGCCACTGCCCATGTGGGGAAGGCTTGCTATACCTGTTTGCACAGTGTCTCCGATGAGCGAGACATGGGTGGCACTTTGTTTGTTTGGCCAGAAGTTGAGTAGATCTTGAGGTTTGACGATGCACTTTCTGTGGTCTCCGCACATGCAAGTGCTGCGGTGCAGATCTATAGCATCACATAGTCTAGTGCCCACGTCCCATGCCATCATCTCGCCCTTGATATCGTAGCTGTCCTCATGCCGTGTTCCAATCCAATCACTTTTGGCCAATGAAAGAAGTGTTCGGTCTTCGAAGGGATGCAAACCATCATCAATTTCGTGTAGTTGGTGTAAAGTCGTGTCGTGTAGGCCATTGAGATATGACCTCAGACAGCCTTGGAATCCTCCTGTGAACCTCTCTCCATTGCAAACCGATTGTCCCAAGTCTCCAGCAGCCACCAGACGTCTGATGGGCTTCCGGCGGTGCAGCTTTGCTGGAGTTGCCACCAAAACTTCTTGAGACTGTCGGCTCGATTGCTCGGCAGCAACGCCAAGTGAAGGGACAGTCCAAGTTGAGATGTGAGTTTTTATCGATCACCATAGCATGCCTCGCCTCTTGGTGTGGTCAAACGGTCCATGGCAGATGACCGCGTGTGCGGTGTTGGCATCTGTGCCGGCAGCAGGGGCCGTCGATGCCGAGGTCAGCACGGCCAACACATGGGCAGGAGTTGCATTTCCATTGTAGCATCTGTGCTATCACTCGGTGCAGAGGAAGGAGCTGCAGGGAACTTCTGAAGCATTCTGCAGGTACCCCAAGTATTGCCAGCATACTTTCGTTGAGAACTGTCGGTCTAGTTGCACAGTTTTCGGCGCAGGTCTGCCACACTCTGGCCCTATCACAGCGGAGTCAACCCGATCTTGGCAGTGGAGGAGCACAAGCGCCTTATTCAGCGGTTTATCATATACAGCGCCGGGGAAAAGCCTCGGCGAGACGGGGTTGCCAAGTGCGGAGTCGAAAGATTCTTCAGAAGCTGGCAAACCGCAGGCGCCCTGCCACCTGCAAGGCGGCGGCTCTCTCCGGTCTGATGGCTCACAATGCTCCTCACATCCGGCTTGCGTTGGTTCCGGTTGCCTTTGTTCAACAAGCCCCTGGATCTCCACGTGCTGCTCCGGCACATGTGCGGCAGTGCCAGTCTGGTTAAGGTCATCCGGCGGCATGCATTGCCCCAGCCCAGGTACAAAAAGCGTAGTTTTGATAATCGTGATAATGCTCTTAAGTTTTACCATCGCTTTAAATTCCGGGTTCAGAGTGCCCCGGCGCTTTTGTTTCGTGTCCGTTAATCTCCCAGCGGTGATGATGCCTTGCTCAGTTCGAGCTTGCGCCACAAGCGAGCCAGAGCCCGGGCCTAGTCACTGTGTGAAATTCAGCACTTTTTCTGTGCGGCCGACACGTGATCTGCTGCCACCGCCACGGGGTGGGGTTGCAGTGATGCGGCTGCTCGACTCCGCGCTTTGTGCCTCGGATTCCAGGGACCTTGCAGCTGCGACAGATGTGTTCCGCCTGCGAAGAACAGCCGCAACCGCGACCTGCTGCATTCGAGCATTTTTCCGTGAGCACCGGTGGGCTTTCAACGGCTGTCGGGCATTCGTCTCCATATTATCGTTGCCACTGCATTGCTCACCATGAGACTGGCAGGCACACAACTCCGTGCATTCACACTGCACTGAATCCGTTCAGTGACGCAGTTTAGTTTCAATCCGCACTCTCAATGTTGGGACATGCTCCTCTCCCTGTGTGGTCAGGACATGCCTCTGCCAGGCTGGAATCGATCGAAACTCCTTCTCTTCAACTTCCAATCTCGGCCAACAAGCTAAGCAGGCAGTTCTTTGGTGACACGGCCAGGCAGGCAGTGATGCAGGACGGTCCTACAGGTCCCCTGCTGTGTGCAGTGCCACCTCGCGGCACTTGCGGTGTCGGAGCCGCGGGTCACGGCTTTGTCTGCCACATCGCTGAGATTGCTGCGACCTCAAACAAGTCTGAGATCGATTTGGATGCCTTGTCCGACCTTTACAGCTGTCCGTTCATTTTTTGCCTCTCGGACGTCGATCTCTTCAGCCATGGCCTGAAGGCTTCGCAGCAACAGCTCCGGACAGCATGGGGTATCGCAGGAATTTGGGCATGTGCCGTAGTGAATTCGGAATGAGTCATAGGGTTTTGAGCCTCCGGTTTACGAAGAGCGCACTCGGGAATCAACCTCGGCAAGGAACGGGTGGATGTCAGATATAACTTGTAACGCCAACTCACCGGGCAACGGATTCTTCAAGACCGTAGCTGCTTTGATGATGTCTGTCGGTGGCTGCTTTGATCTGCCCCTTGCTGATGCTCGGGCCTTGAGCGGTCGCCACGTCGTTTTTCATGCACAGCCTCGTCCTGCCCCAAACCTTGCGAGATTGTTTGAAGGTTTCGGCTTTTCCCGAAACCACGGAGGCAGTCCTTTTCGAGAACCCTGTGCATGAGATGCAGGGTTTCTAACGGTTCTAGGGGTTCGAGGGTTCGGGCCCATGTGGCTTCAGCGGCGCCTCGGGCGGTTCTCAGAAGTCGGACAATTGCCTCTCGAACTGTCTCCCGCCTCGGCTTTGTCCAAGGGCTTCACAGCATGTCCAGGGATTTCTCGAACGATGGGTTTATCCTTTCTTCGAGACTCGTGATCCAGGTTCGCACGGCTGCTGCGCCAGCAAAGCATGAGCAGATCCTTGCGAGTGCCCCGCGAAGCTGTACGTGAAGTCGATGGTGAAACGTCGACGTTTCCAGGCTGCGGGGCTGGGAGCATTGCCCCTGCCATGTAGTGAGCCCAAAGCGTCGCGATCTCTGCCGAAAATGTTGGACCTCCCTGGCCGCTGTTTGTAGCCCGCCTGCCTCGGTTGATGCAGCCGACCCCGCTGAATGAGAGGCAGACTCGGAAGCTGCCTGCATGTGCCTTGACAAGCATCCTCCGGCATCGCAATTACAAGCTTACAGCTTTCCCCCTCCTGGCTCTTCTCCCCATGCTGAGTATGGAGCAGTGCTGCTCGCTTTGGCCAGGTCTAGCTCGACCTCGGCCGCAGGCCCCTGCCCCTGCCAACAAACGCATTCTTGCCAAGCAGCCCGCATCTTCCCGCTCTCTGATTCTGGCCTTCCGCATGCCAGGGCCTCCGACAGAAAGGCAACTTTCCTGGAAGTGCTGATGCTTGACTCCTGCGAAAAGGCTTTGCGTGCGCTTCAACCCGAGAGCCTGGCGTTGTGCCCTTTTGCAGACGCCCGTTCGCCGTGGTCGTCGCGTGCTTTTGCTCTGCCAGCCTTTGCAGCCTGCTGCACTCCGATGGGCTGTGCTCCTGTTGCATGCCTTAAAAGCCCTGGACGCGCCGGCCTCCCGATGCGGTGCCTTGAAATCATTGCCAGCTCCACTCGTGGAGCCGACAGGCGTGCAAGAGTTTCTCAGAAAAGAGGAGCTGTTGTGCAGATTGGGGGCTAGCAGCTTCTCAGTATCTCCGCTGGCCAGCCAGCATTGACTAATCTACCTTTGGGGGGCTGTTCATGATCAGAGGTGGCTGCCAAACCCTCGAGAGATGGTGGATTCGGCCGTGTAGCCGTGGCTTCACCCCTGGAGCTGTGATCCCTTTGACGGCCACGCCTTGGCAGCAGATCTTGACCAAAACAGCACAACCACTTAATGCCCCGCCGTTTACTGTCCATCTCGCGGCTTTGAGTTTTCTGAAGACTCCCTATCCGCTTTCCATGTGAAATCTTCCATAGAGACGCGTTCCCTTCGAAACGCCAAGAGCAAACAGTGCAGAGGTGTCGCCAGTGCTTGAGCATTACCAGAGCCAAAGCTGGCTTGCTGCGTGAATGAGCTTCCTGCTTGAGTGGTCGACTTTGCGATACTCGATGTAGCTCCGACCGCTTTCAAAGATGGTCGCTTCCTTGTCCTCCATGGTCTCGAGCCGCAACGAAGCATCGTTGCGGTACTCTGGTCGGTGTTACGACGGCTGCGTGCGCCGCGGCCAGTGGGAGATCCTCTGCGAGGCAGGCTTCCCACCTTTGCAGCAAGCGGTCGCCGAGCAACTGTGATGGCAGACTGGCGTTGCCACTCCCATCACGTGAGTGGAACAGTAGGTCATAGAGGCGTGCATGCAGCGCGTCGGCACCTCGGCCAACTCAGGCCTGGCTCCCGTCCACGGAGGATATGACATTCACTTTGTGAAGTTCCCTTCCATTCCCTTCCAGTTCGTCCTGAATGTCCTAAGCTCCCCTAAAGATGCAGCTGCTTCCTCATCTTTGTTGCAGAGGCAGTGATGCGCAACGATGGGCAAAGTCCAAGAACACCTGGTGCTCGCAATGTCGGTTTCCTTCCAATGCCTGCGATTCCACGTGCGCTGCTCGGTTCGGAAAGCACAGCTGCAGGAGCTGGTCCGTCGCGTTCCTTGCGGCCCACCGCTTCGCAGCCCAAGCCGATTGGTACGGCGCATCCACTGGCCGGCAACATCCTAATCCATGACTCTCTTTTGGGCTTGTGGCGGGTACCTTGTGCTCTCGGATCCTGCCAGTCCTTCGTCTCGAGTGCCCCGATCCGAATCCGCGATTCGTGGCGACTTGGTTGAAGCATGGCTTGCTCTTTGATACCCCTGCGGCCCCAGCTCATATCAGCGGCCTGCACCTGAGCGGTGTGTCGTGTATTCCTCTCGATGTGACGTGCGTTCTGGACGTCTCCGTGCTCAGCGCTAGCGGGCGTCCCTCTCAAAGCCTGCCGTCTTCTTTTCTTGGCCCTTAGACCGACCACCCATGCAACCCCACCGAACGTGTTCCTCGAGGGTGCTGGCTTCCACCGGGAGGAGAGGCCGCCAAAGTCGCGCCTGTTGGAACGGAGCCACACAGATGCATGCCCTGCTCATGCCCAGCGGTCCGCAACCTTGCCACGCCATTGAAATAAAATGTTAAGCAACTGGTAAACCGTTGTGATTCGGTTAGGCCTGTTATGGGCTTGTTGCCAAAGGTTTAACGATTGCTACGCTCCGCTTCTGCCGGCGACCCTTGTTGAGAAGGCGTCGGCAAGCCCTGGGCAGGCTCATCCCCGCGCCGAGGCTGATCTCATCGAGCTTGCACCGTTCATGAGCCCGCGGGAATGACCAAGGGCAGGGCCCCAACTTCGTGGATCCCATGCTCGTGACTCCTGTCCATACCAGGATCTGGCCGGGCCACGGCCAGAGTCTGCAAGCACTACAGACAAATGTTAGGCCCGGCCGTGCTTTGTTCCCTGCAAAACGGCTCCGGTAAAGTGGCTCCGCAGGAAGTGTCTCCGTGCCAGGAAGCGCACTCCCATCGCGAGTTTGGTGGGCAACTTTTGTCCCCTCTGTTTGCTTCCACTCCGACGACGCATGTGCGGTACCTCCTCCGGCTTGAGCATCGAGCCCGCTTGTTCTGCCATGAGTCTGGTCCTAGTTGGCTGCTTGCAAACAATGTTCAAGCAGCGGCAAATTTGCAGAACCTCGGCTGCTTCTCGTCGTTACGTGCCTTTCAAGCGGATTGTTGCATGCAGAGCCACCTCGAGCAGATGCTATCTCTATGCTAGACGCCTTTTCCACCGATTGTTGCTGCCCTAAGCCCTAAGATTTCCAAGCCCGTGACTCCCACGAGTCATGAGGTGCCTGGCTTGATTCCTGTGGCTCGCCTTGCTTGCATCATGCATGAGGCCACGTGCCACACCACCAAGTTCTTTTCTTCGGGAACTGTTCGGTCCAGGTTGGCCGGGCTCCACCCGACTCGTTCTATCACTTGCAAAATGTGTAGGCAAAGTGGGCGAATTAAAAGGGCCGTGTCAGGTCAAAGGAAGTGGCCAGGAACGGTGCATTCATCTTGTCATTTTTCAAGCAGGAGTTCCTTGTGCATACCATTATCAACAAACGGTGTCAGAACACCTCAGCATACGTCTGCTTCGCGAGCTTCTACACTCTTTGTGGCATTTTTTGGCCAACGAGCGTCTGAATTCCTAGAACCTTTAGAGAGAGCTTGCACAGTCTTCGGTCAGTAGAGAAAGGGAGCTCCTTTCACGCTGATGGCGAAAGGCGCAAAAGGCGGCGTCAGTGTTCATAGCCGGCGTAGCCGTCAGGAGGTCATTTTCGCGACTGCGACGCCGAAGCTGTAGGGGGGAGCGGTCCTTTCTGGCCTTGCGCCTTTGGGCATGGGAGAGGCAGTCGAGACATGTCTGGATGCCAAAGTTCCAGCCGTCGGAACAAAGCTTGTTCATGTGGCCTCGACCGAAGGCCCCCTGCTGGGGTGGGGTGGCCGGCCCTTAGCCGGCTGCATGAGCTTGCAGGGGGCTTGCAACTTGGCAGCTCCGACTGGTCAAAGCATGTCAACGCAGCTTAAGAACTTCTTGTTGTGAGGTGCACGGTTCACTATAGGAGCCGGTGTCTTCGTTTTCTTCGACCATCTCCACAGCGCCAAGCACACAAGCTGCGCTTCAGTGCGCGCATGCCCGGGACGCCCGGGACGCCCGCGTGTGGTACATGCCCCATGTCTCACATTCCGGTGGTCCCCGCGGCCGCACACAACCCTCCGCCTGGAGGACGTCCCTGCACCTGCCGACTGCAGACGATTCACGATCGGTCGAAGTTGTAGGGGGCCACCACAACGTTCACCAGGTCTCATCAGTGGACACTACTGGCGCCATTTGTTGCAGCGACCAGGGGCTTATTCTCACAGACAGTCGATTTCTCCTTCATGCATCAGGCTGTAGCATGAAAAGTTGACGGTGCCTCTGCATGCTTGGAAGGTGCTGCTCCGCTCTGTGTGTATCCGAGTTTCCGCACGCTGCCTGGAGTTGTCTTTTGAATGCGGCCCAGGAGTCACAGTAGCCGGAAGCCATTTGTCGTTCCCAGCGACACGATCATCTCAGCATGTGGAAACCAAGTTTCAGCGCTGACTCTTGGTGTGCCTTCTACCGTTCAACGACGTGCTTCAAGTTGTGGGCGGCTGGAGTCTCCACGTCCCTATGTGACATGTATGCCATCGTGATGTGTCCGGAGCGCTTAAGGTGCACCTGTCTTCGCATCTGTTGCTTTTGCAGCCCCGTGAAAAGAGTGCCATTGAAGTTGACCGCACCTTGCCATTGAAGCTGGTGATAGCTCTTGTTGTGGCAGTGCGGTTTAGTGCTTGTACTTCTGCGTG